GCGTTGATAGATAAAAATATCCTAATTAGTATTAACCCCCAGAGGCCACACGGGTGCAAATCGGGCAGGCCAAAAATTTCAAATGCCCCTCTGTCGTAGGACACGCACAATGGAGCCTTGTACCCTATACCATAATTATGTCTATACGCTAGTGTAACTGTCGAGCAGCAGCTTGGCGTCAATCGCTATACAGCCATTGTGTATTCAGCAGCGAAAAGTAGGCGAGGTGCACATTTTCACCCCTGTGGCTTCGGCGTTAGAAGAAAGGTGCCATTTTTTTTTTTTGAGTTTTCGTGATAAAAAGCGCATTTTCATTTTGCTGTCGTCCAATACGTAAGTACTCTTACTCGCTATGATAAAATTTTAATATGATCGATGTACCTAACCTAAAATTTGACTGTACATCAAGTCAGCAAGCAACACGCACGCGAATGAAGTGCGTCTCCTGCTTTTGGCGCATGTGCGACGAGCATCGGACAGGATTATGTGTTAATCGCGTTAATAACATTAATTAATATATATTTTTAATTCAATACTAATAATATAAACAATAAATATGAATATTATAAGCGAAATTTTCAAAATAAAGTATTTTTTTGTATTCTCCAGTATTTTTCATAGTTGCGAAATTACCATTATTTCAAGCCCCTGTTAAAAATAGTTATTTATAATTCATTGAATAAACGATTTTTTCCCACTTCAGTACAAGTCTTTACCTTTATTTTCCCAAAGGGTCTTTGACTTATCTCTTAAAAAAAAAAAAGTACAAACTTTTTCGTAAAAAACGAATTTAACATTTTTCTTTTTTGAAAAAACCTATTTATCTATGTGACAATGTATTTTTACGCTTTTGCGAATGAAATATTCAAATTCCTAGGAAAATTCCACCCCATATTTATACCGTTATCGATCAAAAAAGATTAAGCCAGAGAGAAGGCATTACGATTTAAAAAAGTAAAAACCATATTTGCACCCGTGTAGTCTCTACGTTATTGGAAAGAGGTGTGGCCTCTGGGGGTTAAGCCTAACAATAATACCCTGTGCAGCGAAATTAAGTGTAACCGTGAAATGAATTTTCAACCTGATGATTCGATTGGTCGATTGTTGGGTTTTACTCAACGCGTTTTGGAAGCTAATAAATTACATACATCCGACGTACTTGTAGCCATTCTCAAGGTGAACGCCTTGCGAGTCGAATGCAACATTACTACAGGCGCTTACCTAAACGAACGTAAGGTGCATACCATCCACGAATTCTTTCCGGTTGTACCACCAGGATATAAGATTATAGAGGTGCCGTCGCACGTCATTTACCTCCCAGAATCGAGCAAGACGTTAGATCACCTACAGCTTCGAATAGTCGATCAGGATGGAGACTTGGTGAATTTTCAAGGAGAAATCATAACGATAAGACTGCACGTAAAATCCATGTGATAATAGGGATCGTGTATAACATAAAGATTGGTAGTGGTTATAATAGCGGCTATAATAATGAACCGACATGTCTAAAAGCAATCAGTCATCGTCCGCGCTGCAAAGCGTTAACACCTCAAAACGTATTATTCCTGAGAAATCTTGGACTCAAGGTCACACCAGTCGGAAAAGGAAACTAAATCGTTCATTCTGCTGCTGCATTATTTTTATCCGCTGCTTACCATGGAGAAAGAAACTTTAAATATTCGAACACCAATCACCTTCGATGAGCCTTACGCATCGTCAACGTTCAACACAGTGATGAAATACGAATTTCCATCCAACATCAAGACTTGTGTTTATTACCGAGTAGAAGTTCGCTGCATGTATACGGAAAGCTCGTGAAGGAAGATGGTTCTACGGCGGTTACAAACACAACCTTGGTTAATAACAGCATTTGTCATCTTTTCGATGAGATTCCTTATGAAATGAATGGTATAGAGATCGATCGAAATAAGAACGTTGGGCTCACGAGTCTCATGAAGAGCTACCTTTCCCTGACTCATGGTCAACGCTCGGTGATGGATAATGCTGGTTGGATGCAAGGAAAGAAATTGACCGATGCAGCTGGTTACTTTGACGTATCCGTACCACTGAGTATGATACTAGGCATTGCCGAAGATTATCGCAAGATTGCCGTAAACGCTAAGCACGATTTGATTTTGACGAGAGCAAAGAGCGATGTCAATGCCATTGTACAAACTGCTCCGGAGGAATGCAAAGTTGTAATTCAAAAATTGGAATGGTTGATACTGTACGTAAAGGTTTCCGATCGTCGAAAGATAGAACTGCTGAAATTCATCGAGAAGGATGCACCCATCCCTATGAGCTTCCGCACCTGGGAACTGTACGAGTATCCTCTACTGCCTACCACATCCAAACACGTGTGGACCGTCAAGACGTCCAGTCAACTTCAAAAACCTCGATACGTTATATTGGGATTCCAAACTGGCAAAAAGAATAATAAAAATAAGAATGTCAGTCACTTTGACCATTGCAATGTCAGAGACGTTAAACTCTTCTTGAATTCGCAATGCTACCCCTATGGAAATCTAAACCTTGACATTGATCGAAATCAGTTTGCTCTGCTGTACGAGATGTATGTAAACTTTCAAGCTACTTATTACGGCAAAGAGCCTGAGCCCATACTGAGAAAAAATGATTTCCTCGCCTATAGTTCACTAATTGTCATCGATTGCTTCAAGCAAAATGAGTCGCTGAAATTTGGACCAGTCGACGTTCGTCTCGAATTCGAGGCAGACCAAAATTTCCCCACCGAAACATCAGCGTTCTGTTTAATTCTGCATGATCGAATAGTAGAATATAATCCAATTAGTGGTGGGATGAAAAAATTAGTATAAAAACCCTACGATCATCTCAATGCAAGCAGTCTGTCACAATGGAGTTCATCGTGGACGTACAAGGTTTCAAGAAACCCTCGGACGAGTTTGTCTTGAAGGAGCTGTCTGTGATTGGAGTGGGTAGCGATTTCTCCGAGCCTGCGACGTTTCTGTTTCAACCACCGTGTCCATGGAGCTCTCTTCCAGCGAAATACAAGTGCATGAATTTGTGGTTACAACGCAACTTTCATGGCATGTCTTGGAACTCTGGCGATACATCTTACAACCAAGCCGGAAATATTCTTCGAGTTATTTTACGAGATGCTATCAGAATTTATGTAAAAGGATTGGAAAAGAAAAATTGGTTGGAGAAATTTATGGGACAATCGTTAAACATCGTGAACTTGGGAGATCTGGGCTGCCCTTCGCTGCAAAAATTGAGAAAAAATTCACTTACCCCATGTACGCATCACCATGCTCCGCATTTCAATTGTGCGATGGAAAATGTTAAATCGTTAAGGACTTGGATGATGGAATGTATATTTTTTGATTAAGAATAAAGTGTGTATATGAAAGAAATAAGCAGTTGAATTTTTTGTCCCTTACGTGGCAATTTATTTAAATCATAAGTATGAACGTTTACAAATATCGAAATTCCATGAGGTTGAATTTCCCACCGAGGTAACGCATACAAAGCCGATTCTCAGCGGTATCCAAAACCATCCGTTGAAAGAAATCCTCATCGTCCGTCAGAACCCTCGAGATCCTTGCTGGCAGGAATACCGAGAAGCTATTCTCCACGTCAACGATGTGTCTTGCTCCAAATTTCGTTTGAATTTTCCTTATGCTGGTAATCTTGTATTCTTTTTCAACCTCCAGTTCTGATAATTTTTTCGTTGGCAGGAAACCCTCCAGACGCGCCACTTTGTTAATTTTTGAGAAGTCCATTTTCTCACAGGTTCGATTAAATCTTCTTTCGCAACTTTCATGATATCTCTTGGAACTCCGGCGATACATCTTACAATCAAGCCAGAAATATTCTTCGAGTTATTTTACGAGATGCTACCAGAATTTATGTAAAAGGATTGGAAAAGAAAAAAAATGATTTCCTCGCCTATAGTTCACTAATTGTCATCGATTGCTTCAAGCAAAATGAGTCGCTGAAATTTGGACCAGTCGACGTTCGTCTCGAATTCAAGACAGACCAAAATTTCCCCACCGAAACATCAGCGTTCTGGTTAATTCTGCATGATCGAATAGTAGAATATAATCCAATTAGTGGTGGGGTAAAAAAATTAGTATAAAAACCCTACGATCATCTCAATGCAAGCAGTCTGTCACAATGGAGTTCATCGTGGACGTACAAGGTTTCAAGAAACCCTCGGACGAGTTTGTCTTGAAGGAGCTGTCTGTGATTGGAGTGGGTAGCGATTTCTCCGAGCCTGCGACGTTTCTGTTTCAACCACCGTGTCCATGGAGCTCTCTTCCAGCGAGACGAGTTTGTCTTGATGGAGCTGTCTGTGATTGGAGTGGGTAGCGATTTCTCCGAGCCTGCGACGTTTCTGTTTCAACCACCGTGTCCATGGAGCTCTCTTCCAGCGAAATACAAGTGCATGAATTTGTGGTTACAACGCAACTTTCATGGTATGTCTTGGAACTCTGGCGATACATCTTACAACCAAGCCGGAAATATTCTTCGAGTTATTTTACGAGATGCTATCAGAATTTATGTAAAAGGATTGGAAAAGAAAAATTGGTTGGAGAAATTTATGGGACAATCGTTAAACATCGTGAACTTGGGAGATCTGGGCTGCCCTTCGCTGCAAAAATTGAGAAAAAATTCACTTACCCCATGTACGCATCACCATGCTCCGCATTTCAATTGTGCGATGGAAAATGTTAAATCGTTAAGGACGCTGGAAAAGAAAAATTAGTTGAAGAATTTTATGTGGCAATCGTTAAATATCGTGAACTTGGGAGATCTGGGCTGCCCTTCGCTGCAAAAATTGAGAAAAATTTCACTTACCCTATGTACGCATCACCATGCTCCGCATTTCAATTGTGTGATGGAAAATGTTAAATCGTTAAGGACTTGGATGATGGAATGTATATTTTTTGATTAAGAATAAAGTGTGTATATGAAAGAAATAAGCAGTTGAATTTTTTGTCCCTTACGTGGCAATTTATTTAAATCATAAGTATGAACGTTTACAAATATCGAAATTCCATGAGGTTGAATTTCCCACCGAGGTAACGCATACAAAGCCGATTCTCAGCGGTATCCAAAACCATCCGTTGAAAGAAATCCTCATCGTCCGTCAGAACCCTCGAGATCCTTGCTGGCAGGAATACCGAGAAGCTATTCTGTATTTTTTTGTCACTTACGTGGCAATTAATTTAAATCATAAGTATGAACGTTTACAAATATCGAAATTCCATGAGGTTGAATTTCCCACCGAGGTAACGCATACAAAGCCGATTCTCAGCGGTATCCAAAACCATCCGTTGAAAGAAATCCTCATCGTCCGTCAGAACCCTCGAGATCCTTGCTGGCAGGAATACCGAGAAGCTATTCTCCACGTCAACGATGTGTCTTGCTCCAAATTTCGTTTGAATTTTCCTTATGCTGGTAATCTTGTATTCTTTTTCAACCTCCAGTTCTGATAATTTTTTCGTTGGCAGGAAACCCTCCAGACGCGCCACTTTGTTAATTTTTGAGAAGTCCATTTTCTCACAGGTTCGATTAAATCTTCTATCCGTCGGAACCCTCGAGATCCTTGCTGGCAGGAATACTGAGAAGCTATTCTCCACGTCAACGATGTGTCTTGCTCCAAATTTCGTTTGAATTTTCCTTATGCTGGTAATCTTGTATTCTTTTTCAACCTCCAGTTCTGATAATTTTTTCGTTGGCAGGAAACCCTCCAGACGCGCCACTTTGTTAATTTTTGAGAAGTCCATTTTCTCACAGGTTCGATTAAATCTTCTTCTCAAACCTATTCTTACTTTCAGTTCAGTGGTAATCTTGTGATCTTTTTCAACCTCCAGTTCTGATAATTTTTTCGTTAGCACGAAACCCTCCAGACGCGCCACTTCGTTAATTTTTGAGAAGTCCATTTTCGCACAGGTTGGATTAAATCTTCTCAAATCTATTCTTACTTTCAGTTCACGTTCTTTCTCCAAACTCGACGAATTGCGACAGTAAACTAATGAGAGAGCACCAAGCTCTTCCTTATATAGAGGGCACTCTTCTTCTTAAGAGTGTGAAGGAATTTTATTTAAGTAAACAATTCATGGATCTACATTTCGGCATTATACAAAGGCTCGCTAAATTCTTTGGCATCAATGATCCGCCGTCTCGATGCACAATTCCTCTCGAATAGATAGTGCACATTAAATTATTGTAAACAATTTTTCGGTAACGTACAAAGGGTAATTTGAAATGTCCTTTGATTTTACCGTCTCTCCAAGGTCACTGTATTGTAGCGGAACTTGCTAAATTCTTTGACATCAAAGATCCACCGTCTCGATGCGCAATTCTTCTCGAATAAATAGTGCACATTAAATTATTGTAAACAATTTTTCGGTAACGTACAAAGGGTAATTTGAAATGTCCTTTGATTTTACCGTCTCTCCAAGGTCACTGTATTGTAGCGGAACTTGCTAAATTCTTTGACATCAAAGATCCACCGTCTCGATGCGCAATTCTTCTCGAATAAATAGTGCACATTAAATTATTGTAAACCATTTTTTCGGCAACGTACAAAGGGTTATTCGATACCTCCTTTGATTTTAACCGTCTCTCCAAGGTCACTGTATCGTAGTGGAACGATAGTGGTGAAGAAGGCGGAGGAGGAACAGTGGGGGTTATGACAATGATGATGAAATGTCATCGAAATTGTTCGGTGACATACGAAGGGTGATTCTTGATCTCAACCGACTCTACATGCTAGTCTGCGGGGAAGTGTAAAGGGTAGGAGCTGCCTCGGAATCGCAAGTAAAATTCGGTAGCGTACAAAAGGTCAATGTACTCAATTACGTCTAATGTAAAATTCCTCAAATCGTGATGACGTCAGCCGATGAAGGGGTCGGCGCCGTCTACTCATGTGCGCGCAACACCCTCTTCAAAAAAATTCCAGAGCCATCGTCAAGCAGAAATCTTTCATAGGGGACCCAATCACCCTAACTTACCATCCACAGGGGGCCCAATCGCCCTAACTTACCATACACAGGGGGCGCCAACGTCGCTAACCTAGGGGGCCTCAACGTCGCTAACTTAGCACGGATGAGAACCCACAGATCAGTAATATGTCGGTGCAGGAATCTTGATCCAGAACTCTCCTTGTATAACTACTATTATAAATCATTATACTACACCATATTGTGCACGACATCTCATAATCTCTCACATTTCCAGAAATCAAACCAACACTGTGACTTTACAGGTGGATGAGCGGGGAGAAAGAGAAATCACGGCAAACAAAGAACAAGAACGGCATGGGCAGCAATGCTGAACAGAATACCTAGAAATGAGGTGCCTAAAGAGCATTTTTATTGTAACACCGCGAATACCGCGCACACCAGAACTCCTACGTGTCACCCTCACGCCCACCTCACCACCAAGATAATCCCGACACTGCTCTAATCCAAAGAAGAATCCGCGATTGAAGGCCTGCAACGAGAATTCAATTGAACGACCGAACACAACTGCCTTGATCACGCCATAGCACGTATCCAAATTCCTCGAAATTTCCTGACATTGCACTCAATCCCCTCCAAACTCAAAATCCTCCTTACGAACATCGATGCCGATCATCCTCAGTTACTAATCAATCCTCTGGTGGAGCAGTATCCCTTTTGGAGTCTTGAGCCGATTGTCCGCGTCAGTCAAGTGTTGTGCCAATCAAATACCTTAGGGCCTATTTTGATCTAGCTTGCCTTAGGGCCCAAGCGAGAAGTGTATCACTTCAGTGCCAAGTCATTCTATCAAGTCATTTCTTGGTAATTTGTAAAGCATTCGTCTAGGCGAGTGTCCACCTTAGGGCTGGACCAAGAATTTCCCGTTCAACCAAATCTATTTCATTATCGTCGAGAACCGAGCGCCGTCTCTCTCACTTCCTCTGCTCATCCACCGGTAAGTAGCTCACATTCTTACATCTTAATATATATATATCTTTGTAACTCACACTACACAAGTTGACGATCACACATACAGTGTTATTCAGAACACAAACGCACACAAACGCAAATAGGCGTGCTTTAGCACCTTAAAGTGGCAAGAACCCAATACCTTTTACGTGATCTTTATCTCAACACCTATGCTAGCTCCCTGATGCTCCCGCAAACGGTCGCTCACGCATAGAACGTAACACCTGGACATAGATTTCGGAGTCTTCGTGTTCTTGGACGTAGATTTTAGAAGACGAAGACTCCAAAATCTACGGCGAGGAACACGAAAACACTAAAATCTATGTCTAGGAACACGAAGACTTTAAAATCTACGACTAGGAATACGAAGACTCGAAAATCCACATCCAGGAAGACAAAGACTCCAAAATCTATGGCTAGGAACACGAAGACTCGAAAATCCACGTCCAGGAAGACGAAGACTCGAAAATCTACATCCAGGATCACGGAAATCTACAGCAGAAATACTTCGGGGCTTCTAACTTATAATAAAAAATAGCATTGTAATATGTTTTAGCGACCTTGTACGGGTTTACGTCTGACTTAACGCTTACCTCTAAACAATTGCGAATCGTGAGTTCGGCATGAAGCTGTTGCACGAAGGTAAGGCGTTCCACCAGTATCAGGAATTTGTCAAGAAATGATAAAATTTCGAACGCAAATATCTCAATTATTATGTGTGCAATCCTCCGAATTTTGTCTTCATCTTTATTACCTTTTCTTGCTCTACAACTTTTGCATTTAACTTTTTTCAATATCTGTTGAGAAATACATTTATGCTGACGAATATTGCACCATAGTGCAATGATCGGTGCGATGACCGCGAATGCGGTAGCACAATGAACTTATGAAAATGCTTAAGCCCGTATTCAGAACTCGCTTTTAGTGTTAATAGCGCGCTTTTAAATTATTTGTTAGTGAGTTTATAGGTGATCCTATTCAGAACCGCTTTTATAGTCACTCTTAAGGTCACTAACAGCTAATAGCGCGCTATTAGCGAAAAAGCCTATTCAGAACCGCTTTTAAGCATTTAACAGCGCACTATTAGGCACCATCTTGGGACTAACAGCGAGCTATTCGAAGATGTGGGCAGGGACATATTTGAAGTGACAGGTCGCTCAAATATGGCGGAACAAATAGAGGCTATTGCTGAAGTGGACGAAGTCCGCGAAGTTAATTAAATGAGAGTAAGAAATCCGCAAGTTTTTCGAGAGAGACGTAATCCGTTTGAATTGTTTAGTGATCGTGAATTTCGAAACAGATATCGCTTATCGAAAGATAGTGTACGATTTGCGATCAGTCTAGTGGAAGATAGGTTAGTGTCTCATGCCGGTCACCACACCGACATATCCCCAGCAATGCAGGTGCTTGTAACCCTGCGGTTCTATGCTAAGGGATGCTACCAGACAGAATTAGGTGATTCATTACCATAAATCAATACTAGTTGTGAAAATTAATATTAAAATAAATTATTATAACACTGTCATTTGCATGATATCAATAAAATCATTATACATTTTAGGAGATTTGCATGGCATTTCCCAGCGTAGCGTATCCAGAATAGTTGCAAAAGTATCTGATGCTATTGCTGCACTGCTTCCACGATTTGTTGTTTATCCAGCTAGAATGGAAGCTCTTAAAACGGAGTTTTACAACATAGACTACTTTCCTGGGGTTATGGGCTGTATTGATTGCACCCACATTGCAATAAAAAACCCCAGTTGGGAGCGAGCTATGTTGTATGTTAACCGTAAGGGTTATTATTCTATCAACGTGCAAGTAGTGTGCGATGCTCAGAGACGAATTCTGGATATTGTTGCTAAATGGCGAGGCAGTGTTCATGATGCACGTATATGGGACTCGTGCTCTCTGAAGGAAGAGCTTGAGGTAAGCATTTTTTCATTTATTAAAAGCATGTTTGATATTAGGTAATCAATGAAGTGGTAATATATTTATTCTTATTTAATAGGCCTCGAGGATAAAGGGATTCTTGCTTGGGGATGCTGGATACCCATGCAAGCCATACCTTCTAAAACCGATCCAATCTCCTCAAACTCAACCTGAACAGAGGTATAACAGGTCCCATAAATCTACACGCATAACTGTAGAACACTGCTTTGGGGAATGGAAGGGCATGTTTAAAGCCCTTCGCAATGTCATGCAGATATCCCTTCCGACAGCGAAAACAGCCATCATTGCCATGGCTGTTTTGTTTAACATCCGGAAGGAACACCATGACAATGATGGCTATGGTAAGAATATAAAATTCATTCAAACTTTCTCATTAAATAGTTTTAACTTAAAGTAATTTTCTTACAGATCCTGATTCGGATGAGGAAGAGGCCTGCGAATCTTCTTCGGAAGGTATAGAAGAGCAGCCTCTTCCTGATTCTGTCCTGGTAGCAGGAAATATGTTTCGCAGGGACTTCGTGCGAAAACATTTCGCATGAAGGAGTTCCTGCATTGCTGGAGGTGCTGAGGCTCTAACCTATCTGGGAAGGTATAGAAGAGCAGCCTCTTAACACCATGACAATGATGGCTATGGTAAGAATATAAAATTCATTCAAACTTTCTCTTTAAATAGTTTTAACTTAAAGTAATTTTCTTACAGATCCTGATTCGGATGAGGAAGAGGCCTGCGAATCTTCTTCAGAAGGTATAGAAGAGCAGCCTCTTCCTGATTCTGTCTGGTAGCAGGGAATATGTTCCGCAGGGACTTCGTGCGAAGACATTTCGCATGAAGGAGTTCCTGCATTGCTGGAGGTGCTGAGGCTCTAACCTATCTGCCCTATCTGATAATCTGTACACTACCTTTCGATGAAGATATCTGCTAGAAGTTCTACGAAAACTAAACAATTCAAATGGATCAAGTTCCTTTCGAAAAACTTGTGGATTTCTTGCTCTCATTTCAATAAATGAAACTTTGTTTTACATTATAATGCTGATATTTTTATTTCTCATTTACCCATGCCATTAATAATAAGAAATACATATGTAAAAAAAGTAAAAAGTTTTTAATAATCATAGGAAAAAAGATTTACAAAAGTTTTTTTCAAAGAAAAATCATATGTACAATTGTAAGCGACAATCGTGATCTAGTAGAGAATGAAACGAATAATGCTAGATTGCAAAAAAGCAAAAGAAATAAATGGATAGATCTAACGAAGAAAATAGCAGTGACTGGTAAGTGAGTTAGGAAAGATATTACAGATGCATCGACGGTGGAAACTCGCAGCAATTCCTTACACAGCAGCCATGATCGAATTGCAAAACTCAATTTTTCTTTTCTTCTGGTCCTTGCAAAAATCTTTCTTTCTCTAACTGTTCCTTCAAAATTTCCATTCTAAGATCGTGTTCCTGCTTCATAATTTGTATTTCTAAATTGTGCTTTTCTTCCATATAACGCAACGTTTCATCCATTTTTTTCGTTTGCAATTCGAGCATGGCTGCTTCGTAGGCTGTCATATTCTTTTTTATCTTCTTTGGTACTGGCTCAGGCGAGGTCCTATCCCCATGACTTCTTTTTCCAACTTCCGTGGAACACGACGGATCTGCCTGAGGTAGGTTCGACTGTATAAGTACTAATTCACTAAAATATATTTTAACCAAATTAAACATTGCTACTTGTCATTTTTATAAATTAATCATCAATCACGCAGATTTAAATCTTTGGGACGTAAAATACAACATTATAAACAAATAAGGAAGATGACAATATGAATACGAATATATCAAGTATTATTATACCCAGTTGTCGGATCCAGTTCGTATGTGACTTCATTCTCAGACTTTTCCACCATGTTCAATGTTGGGTTCGTTCTTCTCTGCAAATATGAATATATTTCGAATAATATATATAATAATGTAGATTAATATAATTAATTAAATCTATAATACAAATAATACATACTAGGCTATCGGAATCGTGGGGATTTTCATCCTCCACAAAATCTTCGGGGCAAATTTCACTGATTGTGAAATCGAGCCCGGAAGATTCTGGGAGTGCAGGACCTCCGCCTGTACCAGTCGCATGCTTGCGATAGCAAGAAATAGTCTTCTTTGCTGCGAGTTTCCACCGCTGATATGCACCTCTAATATCTTTCCAATCCCTCTTAATTCCAGTCGCTGCCATTTTCTCTGTTAGTTCCATCCATTTGTCTCTTCTACTCTTTTGCAATCTAGTATTATTTGCTTTATTCTCTAATATATCACGATTGTCGCTTACAAATTGTACGACTAACGCTTTTTCCTCGATAGTGAAATTCTCTTTTCGTTGCATGGTGATCTACAACCATTTACATATTTGTCATTTTTATGTCATGCCTGTTATATAATAGTTATACATACTAACCACATTTACATGATTTTAATGTATTAATTTAATATTAATAGCTTACCTTCAAGAAAGAGAATTCTTGTGATTTCGAATTTGAAACATGGTTGGTATGTGCACCAAATATGAAGTTCGCGCTTTCCGAATGCCACCGAATACACCTGGACATAATCGAATATGCCCGAGTCTTCCCGAATGATTCCCAACGCGGTTGAAAGTACATGGTACAAGACTGCTCCCTGTTCGCGTGCCTTTAGCTAAAAGCGGCTTAAAAGCAAGTTCTGAATACGGTCACTAACAACTCGGCGCAGTCACTTTTAACTAATAGTGACTCTGTTAGTGACCTTAACACATTCACGTCGGATGACGCCTAATGTCGTCATTTAAGATTTTCCCTTGGGTGCGGATGACGCTTTATGTCGTCATTTAAGTTATCGTTTAACTATTCTTTAAAAATATCATTTTTTCCACTTATTACTAGATTTTTTCCATATGTAGACACTAATAATAAACTGAGGAATGTTTTCCCAATAATATGCTTTATCTTTTCTTATCGTTTCTTCCTTTATACGTGTATCTATACTTATTCATTGTTTGGTAAATCTACCTTTTGTATTAACATGGTAGCAGAGCGAATGGTTTCTGAAAAACGGTTAATAAAGTGAAATAAAATTAGTAAACATACAGGAAAGTTTATTAATTAAAAACAAGTGCTGGATACTCTGAATTTAAAAGTGTGTGAAATGAAGCTAGTGAATAAATAAAAGTCAATAGAAAAACTCAATATTAAGCATGCAGGAAAGCTTACTATGAGTATTAAAGAAAAATATTCGTACCTAAATGATAAAAATCCAGCGTGGGTTCATTCGACTACAAAAGAAGATTTAATTGACTTTTTAAGAAATTTTGAAGCTCCGTATATATTAAATCTGTTATCAATTGATGAATTAAGAAAGTTATGTAGAAATACCGACGAAAAAGAACTAGCAAATTTTTCACCTAAACAAGAATTAATTACTATCTTGTCAAAATATCGAAGATCAGATTTGTACAAATTTATCAAACTAGATGATTTAAGAAAAGTGGCAAAAGAAGTAATAGAAAGTGCTACAGAGAATAAACGTAAAGAAGAAGAAGAATTAAGATTATTAAGCGCAGCGAAAAAAAGGATAGTGAGTACAAAAGATAACGACGACTCATCAATTATTGAACAAAAAGAAGAAACAAGTGATACAAAAACAGAAGAAATCTCGGAAGTAATGGCTAACAACGATGAAGTGAAACCTCAAATATTTGATGGTAAAGACTATAGTATTTGGAAGAAGAGAATATTATTATTTTTAAAATGTAAAAAATGTCTCGAGCCAGCAACTAGAGGAAAACTAGAATCCGAAGATCAAGGAGCATGGGACGAAAAAGATTCAAAAGCGATGAATTACATTTATTGTGAAGGAGCATGGGATGAAAAAGACCCAAAAGCGATGAATTACATTTATTGTAGTGTAACAAATGATCAATTAGAGTTCGTGAGTGAACAAACTACTGCTTTTGAAGTAATCAAGAAATTTGATGAAATATACTTAAAAAAATCATCGGCATTACAAATATGTATCAGAAATAAGTTGGATAAAATGAAGTTAAGAGATTATGAAAATTCAAGCTCATTTTTTATGGAATTCGAAAAGAGAATAAATGAGTTAAAGAATGCAGGTGGAAGAATAGATGAACGAGAAAAGTTAAATCATATGTTAACTACGTTGCCAGAATCACTCAGTTACGTTGGAGATCTGATAGACGCAATGAAGGATGAAGATAAAACGTGTGCATTTTTGAAGAACAAGATAACCATGTGGGAAAACCGAAGTGACATTGGAAGGAAAAAAGCTAGTGCCTTTTCAGCAGAGAAAAATTGCTTTGGATGTGGAAAACCTGGACATTTCAAGAAAAACTGTCGAAACATATGGCGTGGAGGAAACGCAAGAAGAGGCGCAACGCACTGGCAAGGAGGTGCACAAAATTCACAACAGCAGACGCAGCAGTTTCGAGGCCGAGGAGGCAGAGGTGGTCATCGAGGCTTCAATAGCAGAGGGAGAGGAAGTCACCAGAGCAGCTATTCAGCGAGACAACACGAAGCGAGATATAGCAGCAATGAAGACGGTAGCGATCATATTACAGACACATTTTTAACCGAGATAAAATCCGACGATACAGATAGTGTTAAAATTTTTACTTGTGACGTAAGTAGAATCGACTGGATTCTAGATAGCGGGTGTACGGATCATATAATAAATAATGACTCGTATTTTTACGAATCGATTGTATTAAATAAGCCGATAAATGTTAAAGTTGGTGACGGAAGAATCTTAAAGGGCACAAAAGTTGGAAAAATTATAACACATTTTGATACGAACGGAATAAAAAATAAAGTCAAAATAAACAATGTTTATGACGGAACAATCTTAAAGGGCACAAAAGTTGGAAAAATTATAACACATTTTGATACGAACGGAATAAAAAATAAAGTCAAAATAAATAATGTTCTTTATGTCAAAGAAATGGCCACAAATTTGCTAAGTTATGCAAAAGTAACTAATGAAAATAAAATTATTTCAATCGGAAATAAATCAAAAATTTACAACAGACAAAATGATCTTATCGCGATTGCATACAAGGAAAACGGTTTATATAAAATGAATAGTTTTATTAATAATAGAGAATGTTATTCAGTTGAGAAAAATAATAAAATTATTACAGAAAAAGAAAGATATCATAGAATCATGGGCCATGTAAATTTTCAATATTTAGATAAAATGTGCAAAAATAAATTAGTTGAAGGTATGCCGGATAAATTAGAGTCAGAATTTTTGAAATGCGGTAGATGTATTCAAAATAAAATGAATAATTTACCCTTTGAAAATAATAGAACTAGAGCCACTGAAATTTTAGAGTTAATACATACTGATTTGAATGGGCCACATGCAACTACAGGTTTTGATGGTTCAAAATATTTCTTAACCTTTATAGATGATTATAGTAAATGCACGTTAGTTTTTACAATAAAATCAAAGTCGGAAGTTTATGAATGTTTTATTGATTATATGAATAAAGTTGAAAATTTGACCGGAAAAAGAATTAAGAAAATAAGATGAGATAATGGTACTGAATATTTAAACAAAGAAATTGAAAAATTAATAGGAGATAAAGGAATTTTACTAGAACCTTGTCCTCCGTATGTACATAAATTAAATGGAACGGCCGAAAGATATAATAGATCAATCATGAATACAGCTAGATGTTTATTTTATGAAGCTAAAGTAAATCGTATATATTGGCCAGAGGTAGTTAAAACAGCAGTTTATTTAAAAAATAGAACGCTAGCAAATACAATCGAAAATAAAACGCCTTTCGAAATTCTCTTTAAAAAGAAACCTAATATCAGCAATTTGAAATTATACGGTAGTAAAGTTTTTGTAAAAGTGCCGGAAATAAAAAGAAATACTAAGTGGGATAGAAAAGCTGACGTAGGGATTTTATTAGGATACGATCATGTTGGCTATAGAGTTTTGATAAATAATAAAATAGTCAGAGCCAGACATGTTGATATAATTGAAAATGATACAAATTTGATTGGTTACAAAGGTGAAAATGAAAATGATGATTATGAAAATGTTGATGATACTGGTAATGAAAATGAGGATCAAAATGAAAAATCAAATAATGAAAATGAAAATAGTTTAAGAAGGTCTAAACGAGAAAAGAAAAAGCCTGTTAGATATGATGCAAGCCTTGTAAATTCAAATTATATTTATGTTAATGTTGTAAGCGCAGATAGCCCTTTAAGTTATGAAGATGCAATGAATAGTAATGAAAATGATGCATGGAAAGAGGCTATGAATAAAGAAATAGATTGTTTATTTAAAAATAAAACATGAAAATTAGTTGCCGAAAATAAGGATCAAAATGAAAAATCAAATAATGAAAATGAAAATAGTTTAAGAAGGTCTAAACGAGAAAAGAAAAAGCCTGTTAGATATGATGCAAGCCTTGTAAATTCAAATTATATTTATGTTAATGTTGTAAGCGCAGATAGCCCTTTAAGTTATGAAGATGCAATGAATAGTAATGAAAATGATGCATGGAAAGAGGCTATGAATAAAGAAATAGATTGTTTATTTAAAAATAAAACATGAAAATTAGTTGCAAGACCAAAAAATACAAAAATAATAGATTTAAAATGGGTGTTTACAATAAAATCGGATAACAGAAAGACGAAAATATATTACACCAGACAGCTTTATAATATATAGCGTTTTCTTACAAAACCACTGTGAATCCACGCCACAAACGACCTGCAAGACTAGGGCTGTAGTGATTAACTGGTTAACGCTCATACAAAAATAATAGATTTAAAATGTGTGTTTACAATAAAATCTGATAATAGAAAGAAAGCTAGACTAGTTGTCAGAGGGTTTCAACAAGCAGAAATACTGAAAGATTTATATTCACCAGTAGCGAGAGTTCAAACTGTAAAATTATTATTATCCTACTGTTGTCAAAATGGATTAATAATTGAGCAAATGGATGTAGAAACAGCTTTTTTAAATGGTTACGTAAAATCAGAAGTGTATGTTAAACAACCGATTGGATATGATGATAGAACCGATAAAGTTTACAAACTAGAAAAAGCATTGTATGGATTGAGAGAAAGCCCAAGGGCTTGGTATACATGTTTCGATGATTTTATACAAAAATTAAAATTTCAACGAAGTGAAAGTGATTATTGTTTATATATAAAATATGATGAAGTTGATGAAATTTACTTAATACTATTTGTTGATGACTTATTGATTTGTGGTAAAGATAAGAATAAAATTGATGAAGTTAAAAAGGAATTATCAAAAAGATTTGCTATGAAAGATTTAGGCGAAATAAATACTTATTTAGGTATAAATATTAAATATGATTATAAAAAAGGCGAAATGACACTGGACCAAAGTGATTATATTGAGTCATTGGCCAGAAAATACAATATTATTGAAGCTAAACTATATTCTACACCTATGGAACAAAATTTAAGTTTAGAGCCCACTCAGTCAGCATCAAATGATTTAAAATATAGAAATATAGTTGGAGCATTACTATATATTAGTACGGGAACAAGATTAGATATTAGTTATAGTGTAAACTATTTAAGTCGTTTTCAGAATTGCTATGACGACACGCATTATAAATATGCACTAAGAGTTTTAAAATACTTATATTTGACAAAAAATCTTAAACTAACGTATAAAAGAGATTTAAATCCCGAAATAATGGATTGTTTTGTTGACGCTGATTGGGCAGGACCAACAAATCTTAAACTAACGTATAAAAGAGATTTAAATCCTGAAATAATGGATTGTTTTGTTGATGCTGATTGGGCAGGAGACAAAAATGATAGAAAATCCACAACTGGATATGTTATAAGAATTTTTGGAAATGTTGTTTACTGGAAATCTAGAAAACAAGGTAGTGTAACTAAATCTTCAACAGCTGCAGAGTATGTAGCTTTATCTGAAGCTGTAAGTGAAATTAAAGTTATTAAAAATTTA